ACCTAAAATAGAGACACAGATGTTGATGTGTCTGCATTCAATCATTTCAGTGGGCTTAAATAGATCACCCTTTACAGCAGATTTAGTTCACAAACAACTGACAGTTTTGACCTACATATGATTTTCAGTTACGATAATTAATCCTAAAATTCGACATTAGTTAGTAATTTACTTTTAGCAGCATCAGTCGCGCGCACGCTCACAAGATCTCCCGGTTCTTACTTGTGAATTCAGTTCACTGGAGACTCGCACTAAACGGTTCATTTGAATCAGTGAGTTGTCGACTCGAGAACAGCTGCAATCGGTTCATTCTAATTCCTTAATGAATCGTTTGGTGCGATTTGCGAACCGATTTAAAAGGTTCATTGAAAATAATCAGTTCGTTCTTGAATTAGACACCGCTTCTGCGTGTCAGAGCACGTGATGTATTATAAGGAGTAACGATATGTTTTATGAAATGTAGTGAAGTAAAAAGTACGATCTTATGCTTTGGAATGTAGTGAAGTAAAAGTAAAAGTTACTCAAAATAAAACTACTCCAGTAAAGTACAGATACTTGAAAAATGTACTTAAGTACAGTAACGCAGTAAAACTACTCTGTTACTGTCTACCACTGTCATTCAGACAAAACTTTGCTTCAAGAATGAGCCACACTGCTGGCGTGATCTAATCACTAGCACACCCTGAGCACGTGAGTTAACGTATTCCTCTTTATCGGCAAGACATATCGGCATAATTTTTCATATTTCATATTTCATACCGATGCCAATATTTACATTTAAAGGTGCAGTGTGTAAATTTTAGCGGCATCTAGCGGTAAAGTTGCGAATTGCAACCAACGGCTCAGTCCCCCGCTCACCCCTCCCTTTAGAGAAGCTACGGTGGCCGATACAGGACTAAGATGTCGTCGGTAAAGACAGCAGAGAGCAATGAGATTTCTTTACAAAGGTAAATTAAGGAATTATATTTACTTAATTATTTAATAAATCGATGTTATTGCGAAT